TTCATTTTTTCTGAAAAGGTGGTGTCTATTTACTTGTGACCACGCTGTGTACACGAGAACCTATCGAAAGGGTTAAATCTGGCGAACTCAGTGACTCGGAAAATTGGGGACATTAGTATAAACTGAATAACCATTTCTGGTTTTTTCTCCGGTGTTTATTGGAAAAACGGCAGTTTCGTGCTTTCTTTATATTTTTTATCGGAAGTGTTTTGTCGGTGTTTATCGGTTAAACCTAAAAATCAGAAGTTTTATGTATGTCACATCAAAATTAGAGACAGCTGGCTATACGTAGATAACACCTATATATCTTTGCGTGGAAATATCAAAAATAATGAACAACCAATTTGTACCTTGATATAAAGTTGTAAAGTTAGGAATAAAGAAAAGTGTTTTTTTTTTTATAAATTACTATAACAGTTCGTGACCTGGAGATATTTACTTAGTATGTTTTAAATACTTAACAACTTTGTTCGATTCAATTTTCTGCTTATCCGAAACCTTCAGTATGAACTTTTCGATATTGATTTAGTACAAAGGGAATAATAAACGAGGTTTTATTAATTATTCATTCGTCTTCTTCTTTCTCCAGTGTTGTTTCAAACTAAATCATCTCTTAAAGATATGAAATTTGTTTTATTTAACTAGTATTTATTGTTGTGCTTAAGCTTACTGACCTCGTTAATTCAAGTCAATGACATTATTTATAATCTCAAACTCTTCTTCATTTTATTTTCTGATTTATCATTAACCAAAGTACGTTTGAAACTGTCGTATTTGTGAAAACGAAAATGCGTAACTTATTTCTCAGAGGAAATTATCCTAATTTAAAATCAAGACTAGTACATTTTCATATTTTTATTTAACTAGAAGATGTACCTGTTCAGTGTACGGGAAAGACGTAGGGGCCCACGGGGAGTGACGTAAGGAGCCAGATCCGAACGCGGCCCCCAATGTCACTACCCGGGATTCCCCAAGAGTGCCTTTGAAGTTAGGTATAGATTAATAGAATGGCATGGAGAACACACAAAAGACTCCCGCGGAATGATATAAGAGAGGTCAACTCCGAACGCCTACCCGCCCACTTAGGGTACATACCAAAATCTCTTCGCGTGAAAGGTGGGCACACAGACAGACAGTAAAATCCCGAGTAGTGATATAAGGATCAGACCGAATTCCTATCCCCTTATCTCCCCAGTGGACCAACGATAAGTCTGAAGGCTTATAATGCTGAAAACAAGGTTTCTATACCTGTACACACACTTTATTATGGTTAAGCTTTAGTCACCATGGTTTATCTTGGGTACTAAAGTAGCTTCAGAGGGTTAGATGGCGTTTCTTAACCCGCACGTTGAACATTGAATTTGATTAAAATATGGTACATGACCTAATTGTTGTCATTGTCCCTACTTTACGTTTCTCTGTGTCACCGGTTCGATTCGATCAAGGACGTCTTTAAACTATACTTCGAGTTTTTTAGCATGTTTTGTAAACAAAATAGCCATCTTTTCGATCATAGTCTCTTTCTAAATTCAACAGGTTTTATACTTCTGTAACCAGTCCTTTATATCGTGAACTCATTGTCTCTGCGGTAGTTCAACAGGATTTTACACTGTCTTGCCAATGTTGAGAAAGTTATTATCCTGTTCATCAAACAAATCTCAGTACCGTGCTGATCATTATTCAGTCATGGTTCTAAAACTTGTTACCCTGCTCAGTATACAAATGTCATTACCGTGGGCCTACAGAGGGTTGACTACGCTATATTAAAACGATTTTGGATTATTACTACGTCGTTACAGTCGTTGTTGCCACCTCTGGTCATGCTCTATCTGACAGCTGAGCATCTTGACAATAGCCCTGAAGCAATGTTTACATTGAAAAAGGCTCCATCTTAAGGTTTTCTTGTAAAAAGCACACCGCCCCTTCTTGTTGCTGTTCATAATCCGTCTAGTGTACGAGGACAACGGTTTCCGACTACACAGAAATCCATAGACGCTGTGTTCGGTGACTTGGCTGGCACATCTTCGTCGTATGAAATACTATGAATACCCGTTTAATTCTCCAGCTGCTTAAATTAAGATATACAACGGTTGAATATGTATGAGTGGAAGCAAATTGTGTACACGTTTAATTCTCCAGCTGCTTAATTTAAGATATACGATGGTTGAACATGTGTGAGTGGAAGCAAATTGTGTACACAAGACTTCTTTCCATTTTACAGATCTTTCTTGATTATGTTGCGAACTTTTGGGGGCCACGTGAACAGTTTTTGCCACTGACCTTTCTGTTCGTAGGCTCTCATCTATTACAAGACGCCCAGTTTGTTTATCACGGCTGGAGTACGACTTGTGGCAAGTTTTCTTCTGGATGTTAATGAGTTGATCCAAATTCCTTTGTTTTTTATTGCCACTAAGTACAAGTGATACCCCGTTTTGGAAATTGAGAATCTCCAATCTGAACACATATTTATGACCTGAGTATAGGAATTATTTATTTCAGAAAGGACTATTACATAAACGTTCTAAAAGCGATGAGTTTTCGGTAGCATCACATTGCCCACGTAACGCCAAATAATCTAAAAATGTTGTTATGGTACATTCCATTCCACCGTAACTTTGTATCGGCTATGTTTGTCACGTGACTTGCAGAGTTGCATAATCAAAATCATTTTAATATAATGTATTCAACTTTATAAAAAAAGTTATTACCCTGTACAGTAAACAAACTTCATTACCATGACGACTAGTAGTTGAAGTAAGGCTGGGGTCCTGATGGTCCTAGCTCCCATTTAAGAACGTCACCAAGGAGAGCCCCTAGCTATATGGAACAAGACGGTAAGGGGAACTATAACGATAATGTAGAATAATTGAAAGTTTCGAGAGGAACCACAATGAGGATCATATTATTCTACGTGAAAACTGGTCTTCACCTGGCAAGATTAACATTGCGGTTAAATATACAGAATTAGGTAGATCTGGGAGCGAATGGGCGTGGCTTACTTTTTACTTTCTCACGCAGAGTAGTCCAGGGTCGTACAACTCTTGTTGTCTTCCAAGCTGATGCTGACTTCTTCTATAATATATAGTTTATACTTAATAAAATGTTGTACTGGATCGTTAATTAATCAAAGTTTTCTAAGAGAAATGACCTAATGTCCCAGATTTACACTTTAACCACTTGTGACAATCATTGTCCAGTCAAGATCCAACAATTGTGTGTGTGTGATGACTGTTGTCTCTGTCATGGTTTGAGAGTGCTTACCTTGTTCAGCGAACAAACCTCCATTTCGTGACGATTGTGGTCCAGCTGTAGCTCAACAAGTCGTCACGACATTCAGCATACAAACCTCCTTTCCACGACGATTGTTGCTTCTGTCGTGGTTTACCAACCTTTTCCTTATCCATTTCAGAAAATCAGCCTCTTTATTGTCATAGTCATTATCACAAAATGACGTGAAACCAACATCGTATTAGTACTAAAATTTATATGCGAGTTCGAATCCCCGTCGCCGAATATGATCGCCCTATCAGACCTGGGGGCACTACAATGTGACGGTCAATCCCACTATACGTTGGTAAAAGAATAGCCTAAGAGTTAGCAGTGCCTTCCCTCTATTCTTTCACTGCTAACTTTGGGACGGCTACCTGGAGAGGGGATGAGGGCCACCAGGTAAATCTGCCAGAGAATCACCGATGATGTATTATTATCTAAGGTGCCCCAATGGTCGTAATCAGAAAAAAATATGTATATTGCTTTTAGAAAACCTAAAGTTATTTATTGTATTAAGCTTTTTGCGAAAATATTGTTTATTTGCGAATATTAAAAGCTAGGTTTTAGGTTATATGGAGTAATTCTACAGTGGTATTAGTTGTTGTTGTATTTTTAGGTGTTGAATGAAGAAATTTGTTCATACTTTATCAGTTTCACTATCAACATTGTTTTTTTTTAATTTCGCGCAAAGCTACACGAGGGCTATCTGCGCTAGCCGTCCCTAATTTAGCGGTGTAAGACTAGAGGGAAGGCAGCTAGTCATCACCACCCACCTCCAACTCTTTGGCTACTCTTTTACCAAAAATTGTGGGATTGGCCGTAACATTATAACGCCCCCACGGCTGAAAGGACGAGCATGGGGATTCGAACCCGCGACAGATTGCGAGTCGAGCTCCCTAACCACTGTCAACATATAATCCCTATTTTATCTCGACATATTTTTTCTTGCTTCTTTTGCAATTATTTATAACTTTGTGTGAGATGATAATCACAATAATACGTTTATCAAGTGTTATCATATAAATAGTTTTTCATTATTACAATAGCTCCAAATGTTGGGACGCTGCTGTGAACTCGTCAGTTGGTGACCTTTAATGGGCAGGCACAATTACGTTTTCCAAGTCCTGTTCATTAGAGTGTTGATTACAACTATAATAAAACGTCAAGAGCTGTTCTGTTTCAATCATTTCTGTCTCATGCACCCACGTGACGTCCTGGTATCTTTCAACCTCTAAGCGTACTTTCTACATTCCTTCTTGACTACATCGTCTCAATCAGGAATATCAGGATTCTTATCTCTATACACGGTGTTCAAGGTGAACAATGATTGGTTTATCGTGTACATATCTCATCAGTTTGGAAATTTATGTGCACACTCGGAAGCCTACGATCTCGTTAGATATAATGTTGATCTCAAGACGAAGAACTAATTAAAAGTAAGGCTATAGTCAGGTGGGAAACGACATTTGTGTTTACGTAAGTACTATATTATGAATAATAGTATGATCCTTGCCTGCTCTGTAGCTATTACATAAGTATAGTTGAATCAAATATTCGATAAAATGTACTAATGAAAATTAACATTATAAATTGTAGCCGTTTTATAGCTATATACCTAGCACCATCTAGGTGATACTGGTGCACAAAAATGGGAAATAACTAATTTATCAATCATATCATAAATATACTAAAATCGACATTTGGCAAGTAAAATTTTTTGATGGGTTTAGCTAGAAAGGGATTCAATACCATCTGAAATAAATTTTGACTCAATTAATTTAGTAATATGATATAGTTTACTGCTATATTTATGTTGAACTATTATATGTTTGACTCGAGGGGAAAAAACTTGCAAATAACCCTTTGTAAATGGTAGCAATGTTATATTTAGAAAATATTAATGGTATGGTACTGTAAGATAATAAAACTGTATTAGTAAATTCTGGTAGCTGACACTGGAAAAAAAATAGCAGTTTTTTTAAAAACTTACTTCCTGCTCTGGTAAAATAAAGAGAGAAAGAGAAGATAAAGAACAACCGTAATCCGCCAGACTTGGAGAACTTCTAATTGAAGAAATTCTAATCCACTAGACGTTAACTTAAATCCTTGCTGAAACAACTAATCCACTAGGTAAGAACGACCTAAACTTGTGCAATGGCAAATGAAACAACTCTAATCCGCTATATAAGGACAGCCTGAAAACTTGCCATGGTAAGTGAAACAACTCTAATCCGCTATATAAGGACAGTCTAAACCCTTACTATGGTAAGTGAAACAAATCTAATCCGCTATATAAGGACAGTCTAAACACTTCCTATGGTAAGTGAAACAACTCTAATCCGCTATATAAGGACAGCCTGAACACTTGCTATGGTAAGTGAAACAACTCTAATCCACTAGATAAGGACAATTAAACCTTTGCCATGGTAAGTGAAACAACTCTAATCCACTAGATAAGGACAATTAAGCTATTGCCCTGGTAAGTGAAACAACTCTAATCCACTAGATAAGGACAGTTAAACCTTTGCCATGGTAAGTGAAACAACTAATCTGCTATTTAAAGACAACCTAAATTGATACAATGATTAGCGAAATAATTCTAATTCGCTAGATAAGAACAACATGAACTGGTACTATGTTAAATGAAACCATTCTAACTCGTAATACATGGGCAACTTTAACCCTCATATACCGTAGTTAATGAGGCAATTAATCCCCTGAACATGTACAACATTTACTATGTGAATAAAACAAGCCCAAATCCTTAGGCACAGAAGACTTAAACAAGCAATAGGTTAAGGTAACGGTTAAAGTTGCAAAAACCAGTTATATTTTAAACACAGGATAATCTCAAAATGATTTGTGGTTTTAATCTTAAGTATTAGTAATATAATACACAAAATAGTTTAAACTTGTTGTTCATACGTAACTCATGTTTACTTCATAGCGTATCTCCAAATAAGCGAAGCCAAAGAAGAAGATCAAGGCACTTATCAATGTGTGGCCGAGAATTCCATGGGTTCCGCTTTCTCCAACTTAGCTTCTCTGTATGTGAAAGGTAAGAAATAATTACGTATTGGGATCCTTAGAACACTCACATAGGCCGTTGCTATAGAAACCCTCTCTAGGCTTTGAGGCTGTGGATATACTATAAGAGTGACAATCAAATCCCACTATTTGGTCAGATAAGAGTTGGCGTTGGGTGCTATTGACTGACTATCTTCCTCTAGTTGTTGGTTCATAATTAGGCGGCCATGCGCTAATAGCACTTTGTGTAGCCTTGTGGGAATTTTTTAAAAACAAACAAGCTCAGATGAAACGTCGCTACGCTTCACAGTCTCCAAATTGTTATCATGTTAAGTTAGTAAACCCTTGACTTAAGCGATAGGTTAACGGACTTTGAACACTAAAATCCGGGGGTCGGTTTCCCAGTAGACAGAGTGCAGACAGATCATTGTGTCGCTTTGCGCTAAAAACATCAATTTTCAGCTATTGAGACAGAAATACTTGTTATTTTAATGTAAAAAAAAAGCAAGAACAGTTTTTGTTTGTTTTTGTAAAGAGTACAAACAGCAATTATATAGGGTAATGTCGAATAAAGGAAAAAATCTGTTGTATAATATAATGTCGAATAGAGGAAAATTCTGTTGTATAGTGTAATGTCGAATAGAGGAAAAATCTGTTGTATAGTGTAATGTCGAATAAAGGAAAAAATCTGTTGTATAATGTAATGTCGAATAGAGGAAAAATCTGTTTTATAGTGTAATGTCGTATAAAGGAAACATCTTTTGTATAGTGTAATGTCGCATAAAGGAAAAATCTGTTGTACAGTGTAATGTCGTATAAAGGAAAAATCTGTTGTACAGTGTAATGTCGAATAAAGGAAAAAATCTGTTGTATAATGTAATGTCGAATAGAAGGAAAAATCTGTTTTATAGTGTAATGTCGTATAAAGGAAAAATCTGTTGTACAGTGTAATGTCGAATAGAGGAAAAATCTGTTGTACAGTGTAATGTCGTATAAAGGAAAAATCTGTTGTACAGTGTAATGTCGTATAAAGAAAAATCTGTTGTATAGTGTAATGTCGAATAGAGGAAAAAATCTGTTTTATAGTGTAATGTTGTATAAAGGAAACATCTGTTGTATAGTGTAATGTCGCATAAAGGAAAAATATGTTGTATAGTGTAATGTCGTATAAAGGAAACATCTGTTGTATAGTGTAATGTCGCATAAAGGAAAAATCTGTTGTATAGTGTAATGTCGTATAAAGGAAACATCTGTTGTACAGTGTAATGTCGTATAAAGGAAACATCTGTTGTATAGTGTAATGTCGTATAAAGGAAAAATCTGTTGTATAGTGTAATGTCGAATAGAGGAAAAATCTGTTGTATAGTGTAATGTCGAATAGAGGAAAAATCTGTTTTATAGTGTAATGTCGAATAAAGGAAAAAATATGTTGTATAGTGTAATGTCGAATAAAGGAAAAAATATGTTGTATAGTGTAATGTCGAATAAAGGAAAAAATATGTTGTACAGTGTAATGTCGTATAAAGGAAACATCTGTTGTATAGTGTAATGTCGCATAATAGAAAAATCTGTTGTATAGTGTAATGTCGTATAAAGGAAAAATCTGTTGTATAGTGTAATGTAGAATAGAGGAAAAATCTGTTGTACGACTTTTATTATTAACCATAAAATATCGCACGAACAAATTTATTGGCGTCAAACCACAGGAACTATGTAACAAAGTTGCGCAGAACACGGAACGTATAATAATATTACTATGACTTGCATCCGATCACGTTTTTCTACACCACCCCACCTTCTTTTATTACTAAGGGCGGATAGTACATACTGTTATTACCTGTATTTAATGTGCATATTTCACGATTATGGTTTAATATTAATGCTATTATCACCACTGATATCAAGGTATGAAATAAACATTAATATTTCCTAAGTCATTTTGTTATGAATGTTCTCAGAGTAGTATGTAAGAAATGAATTCTTATAACCACACCCGTTCCCAGATCTTACAATCTATTTCGATGTTTCACAATCAATCCTTTAGGTGGCAGTAGTGACGTTATCCATTATAATTACTCCAGCTACTTAGTTGTACATCATAAATGCTTAAGTCCAAAACGGGTTTCTAGATGAAATGACCACACTGTTTCTAAGTGGTTTGTGTAGGGAACGATACTCTTTCAACTTAGTTTTGAGGTGGAAACTATATTGTTTTTAGTGGGTTTGGAGCAGGTAATCAATCACACTGCTCCTAATAGGTTTAAAACCAGCGAAATACACTGTTTCTTAGAGATATTGATTAGAGAACCTTACTTTTTCTAATGCATTTTTTAGTTAGGACCCATACTTCTAAGAAGTTTTTGAGGAGGAAACTGCTGTTTTTAATAGATGTCCACGCCATTTCTAAGGTGTTAGAGTAGAGAACCATGGTGTTTTTAAGGGATTTGAGAGTAGAGCACCATATTATATCCAAGAGGCTTCAAATAAGGAACCATAAGTTTTTAAGTAATTTCAAGTAGAAAAATGTATTGTTTCTAGGAGCATTTTAATTAGGATACCTCATTGTTTTTTAGGAGTTTTTATTAGGGAGCTATATTGTTTCTGAGGAGTTTTGAGTAATGTTTCTAAAGAGTTTGATTAGGGAACCATATTATTTCTAAGGAGTTTTGAATAAAGAAGTGTTGTATTTCTAAGGAAATTTGAACAGGAAACTTTACTGTTTCTAAGGAGTTTGGAAAATAGGTAGCCATAATGTTACCAAGAGGCAAGACAATAAATATTGTGATGTTCCAGCTCACCTCCCTGGGAGAACTGAGTTTTATTTTATTATGATTTTGTCCTTTTATAATGAATTACAAGGTCATCATTTATTTTTAACATCATTGCCATTAGTTGGTTACCATTACTTTCTTCAGTTATCTATATCTAAACATGTCCTCTTGTGCCTGTCAGAGAGAAATGTTTACTTTCTTTTAAATGCTCTAATTTGTCCAATCGATACAAATAATTTTAGGAAAGAAGTCACTTCTGTCTTCACATCATGCTGACTACAGTAATGTGTGTCATACTTGATTTCTTTGGTTACGGAGTTAGTTAGGCAGAACCTTACCAACTGATACTCACATTTTGAATTTCAAAAAATATCAAATTCAAAAATCACATGTTGTAATAAAGGTAGCTTGAACATGAGAAAAAACAGTACTTGTTCTTTACTGTAAACAGCATCAAGTTTCCTGTAACTTCAAATAAGATTGAAATGAGTTTCAAAACTTATTTCATGCATTGTAAGGTACATATCTAGATATGTTTAAGTATCAAAATATTGTATGTTTTCTATATAAGTTAAAACATAATTGTCATAATTGAATGGGATTAATTCTAAGATCCTCCCACTCTCTCTTCAACATCAACTTTGTTGGCTGCTTCATATTGATGTAATGTGGATGTTTCTGTTTTGTTTTATTTGTAAATCAGAGTAAGTTTGTTGATAAAAGCTTTCAATTATTGTAAGCTATGGCTCTTGGCTCAAATTGGTATCTAGAATATCAGTAGTTTAAGTAAAGCAAATTTAGTGCTCTGGGATTCTATTCTGGATGAGGGCATCTCATTCTTTATGTTGTTTATTTGTAACTGTTTTTGTGTGAAGTATCGAGGTTAATACAACTTTGGCTTTTTTAGTTATTAACTGTTACTGCACCTTAAAGCATATTTTTGAAAACTCCTTTTCCTTCAAGGATTAAAATCTGTAACTTTGAGTTATCATCATTGTTGGTAAATAAGGTGGGGAAAGAAAAAAGGCCAAGAAGACACAAAAATATAAGTTATGAAAGAAATATTGTTTCCAACCTGCATTGTTCTATTTCTCACACTACCTTCAAGATAAATGTTTTATATCAGTTCCAAGCTTCACTTACTAATTTAGAGTATATATTTATTTCATTTTTATTTTATTGCATTAAAAGACAAATAATTCAAATGTTCCAAATTTATATATATATATATATGTTTAAATGAAATCTATGTTGTCTACATCATATGATGTTTTTTTTCTCAGTACGGAGAGTTCCTCCTTACTTCTCCATACCTCCAGAACCTGTATATGAAGTAATGCCAGGGTCAAGCCTGAACCTAACCTGTGTAGCTGTGGGTTCTCCAATGCCTTATGTCAAGTGGAGAAAAGGCACAGTAGACTTAACTCCAGATCACTCCCTCCCTGTGGGGAAGAATGTGCTTCAATTAAAAAACATAAGAAAATCTGCAAACTACACCTGTGTTGCAGCTTCTAAGTTGGGTAACATTGAAACTGTCACTGGAGTTCTAGTACAGGGTAAGTAAGCCTGAGTTATTGTGTATTGCTAAAGGTATTGGAATGGCATATCACTAGCTAGAAATGAGCCAATCCCCACATAATTTGGATATGAATCTCCTGGCATAATGCTTTGTTTGGTTTATAAAGGTTAATAGCTACCACAAGCAACCAGTTTGCATCAAAATGCTACAGAAAAAAGCTTGTAAACTTTTGAAGAAGAATAGTTACCAAGTGCATAATAATTAGTAAAAATACATAAATATTTTGAAGAATGTCCCCTTTAATGATAATGCCCTCTATCACAAGTGACTTCTGCTTAAACAATTTAAAGGCCAACACACCCTCTCTTCTCTTTTACCAACTGAAAAAGTGAAATGTCTTGGTTAATGAGCTCTGAGGGAGAAGCTGAAGTGTTTTCAAATCATCAATGATAGTTTAGTGTTCAAGGCATTTCAGCTTTCCTCTTCATACTGAAATATACAATATGCATTGTCATGAAGAAGTAAAAGATCACTGAAAATTCCAATGTACAATGATGGCTCACCTGCTGTGTAATAGTATCTTCTCAGTCTATACAAACTTGAGAGTTCATAATTGCAGGCAGCACATCCACAGTGTACATGGTGTTCCATGCCGGATAGGCTGCAGCCCAAAAGCCACTCATCAAAGATGTGAATGCAAGACCGTGGTTGCTGTAACATCGTACACATTGATATAGGAGTGAAGAACAATGAAAAATGATCACATAGATTGAGATTTCCACTGTTTTTTTGTTTATTTATGATGTAATACCTTGGTTTGTTGAAAAACTAAAGAATGCTTTGAATTTGAACTATATTTTCTAGCCATGACTGCTGGTGGGAGTAGTTTCTTTGTGGTGTTGTTTTAGCTGGTTAAGAGAACCATGAATACCATATCATATTGTGACATAATATCCTGTAACTCTTTCCTTCACAATAGATTTCAGGTATATGCTTACAGAAGTCAAGATAATTTTAGAAGTTTTTAACTTTTAAGAGATTTTCATTGTTTTCAGAGTGCTTTTTTGAAGTGCATAACTGTCTTTGTCAGTTATGTATACATAAAATTATCCTATGTCTAATGGCAAAATTAAGTTAACTTCCCTTTTTTGGAAGAGCATGACTTGAAGAAGATAAAATGCTATGCTACTTATACTGATAGAACTTTATGGGGAAGTCCCATACTTCCTAAAACATGTTAATTTACCACACAGTATCTCATATTGCCCAGAGTTCCTTGCTTGATTGCAGCTGAACTGCTCTGAGATGTTTTAGTACACCATCTGAGAAACAGAATGGACAGACTCTGAAATCTCACCAGATTTGTAGTTGCTTTAAAGAAAGATCAATGTTTTTTTCCTACCATTCTATAAGATGTTTTCAAATGTTGGTATTAGATTTGTGACTGTAATTAATGTCAAAGATAAGCTCTCACTGAATCAACACAACATACATAACACTTAATTGACAATGTGTTTTCCCAATTCTTTTGGTAATTGCAAATATTGGTATGTTGCATGTTTATATTATAAGTGATTTTTTTTTTTAGGTGTTAACTTAATGTTTTATCACTTCATTGCTTCTTTCTGTACAGAATATTTTTCTGTTAATTCTTTTCCTATAAGAAAGCATTCATCTAAATTGTCAACAGTGAAATGCTTGATTTAAGCTTAGTTTATTCCCTACTGTGACTTTCTCCTTGAGCAAATAAAATTCACCAAGGGGTCAATCAGTTGTGTGAGTATTAATTTGTCAATACCATCTTATACTGAACATATTAACCTTTGAACTTTAATGTTTTAAAATGGCTTGCTACCTTTACTGTTTTTAAGTTAAAAAAAACAAACTTGAAACTTGTATACTTTGTTAAAGTTGATAAATGTCTTCCTCTCAGCCCTCCCACGTCCTCCAACAAACCTTAGGATATCCGATGTAACAGCCAGATCCATCAGACTTTCATGGTCATATGACATTGGAGCAGAAAACATTAAGTATTACATAATTCACTATAAACCTAAACAGGCTAATCAGGAGTATAGTGAACTCAGTGGAATTGTCACAACGTTTTACACTGTGTCAGACCTCCTTCCTTACACGGAGTACGAGTTTTATGTTATTGCTGCTAATGTCATAGGTCGTGGCTCACCCAGCACACCAGCTATGGTCACTACAGGAGAAACAAGTGAGTGAGATTGACATTACTGTGGGCTAAAGTTATTCTTTTATATGTTTGTAAAAATTTTCATTGAAATTAGAACTTGTTTTATTTTAAACCTCTAATAAAAAAGTGTAGTCTTTGAACATAATATAGATTTTAATATATATATTGAACCACTAGTGTTTTGTAGTTCTAAATAATTTGTAGTTCCATATTTCAACAGGCTATTTCACATGAATATTTTAGTAATAGTTGTTGATCAGTTTTTATCAAGCAGTTTTCCTAATGATAATTTCTTCTTATTCCTCTGAACTGGTTCAGTCATACTTCAGTATTTCAGAAAATACATGCATTTTTGTCTGCTATGGCTTCTGACTTTTTATCTTGCAGTGCTTAGTATATTTTAAATACTAACATATTAACTGATTTTTAAGTTCTTTCTGACACATTTTTGCTTTTCTCACCTCCTCATATTGATTTAATTTACTTAATTACCAACAGTAACATAATTTACTGATTTTCAATTTGTGTCAAAAATATTATTTCTGACCTTTCAAGCTTGTACATTATTAATGAAATAAACCCTTCCAGGTTGTTATGAAGTTAAAAGTTATCAAAATAATAGAGAAAAAATGAACAATTTTAGTTTATGACACTCTTATGTTGATAATTATTTCTTGGCTTGTTTCAAAGTAGGGGATTATTAGCATAGGAGAAAGAGTGGTGCATTACATTTCTTTATTTGTATTGAAAAGTAATGTTTCATTCATTGTAAAATGGAGATTCATTGGCACAAGGAAAAAAATTCATCTTCATGGTAAAACTTTTGTTATACAGATTCTTAGTGCTCATTAATTCAGAATTTTTGTAAAGCTTTCAAATTATTCTCTTCTCTCAAAAAAAGCAATATATACATATTACTGTTGTGAATACGTTGGAACCTTTAATATTTCCTTATGTGATGACTAGTGCCATCTGCTGTTAAATTTTTAGCCCATATGAAATTGTTAAAAACTCAAAGTAGTTTTATACTTAAAAGTCTTGTATTGGTATGATTACATTTAAAAACCTCAAAAATTATTAATAATAAATAGTAAACTCTTTATAATAACTTCAGAAGGGCCTAGAATTTTATGTATTTATTTGAATTGTTAAGTTCCAAGGCAATTGATTCATATTCATTGTCAAGTTTCTATTTAGTTAAGCATGCTAGCAAACTCTTGACAGTTTATGATTAAAATCAAAGTGGTGCTAGATGGGGTTTCGTGTTTGTATTCTAAATCTTCATGAGGATTGGGGACATAACATATAAATGTTTCTTTCATTTTGAAAAATAGAAATATTTATAGTAAGAATTTTCTGATGGTAATGGAATCTATTAATTTGAAACTTACATAGAAGATGTTTAATTCACCTGCTTTTAAGAACCTCCTTTTCCTAGCACTCTACCATTTCACTACTTTGTTTCTTGTTTATTTCCCCCCTAGTGGAACCACCAGGAACAAGCAGTAAGTTTTCCACCTTCACTTCTTTCAATCTTTCTGTAATTCTAGCACTTCTATCTGCTAGCTTTGTTTTTTTCTTGCTTCCTGATATTGATAGAGAAAGCTTCAAGAAATGT